CCAGCAAAAGCCGGGACTGATAAAGACATTCCTTTGCAAGCTGTGTGTGGCTGTTGTTTCTGAACGAGCAAAGAGGGGGGTCAGAACAGGTTTCTATCAGGCTGAACTGGTTTCAGCCACATTTCAGCATACTCATACAGTATGACTATTGAAAAGGTAGATCAAGCAAATAGAATTTATACAGACAGCTGAATAATTCCTTAGAAATAATTTAATGTTCATTTCAAAAATTAGGTGTTATATATTACAATTTATATTAGATCATCTTATGAAAAAAATCCTCTTCTTTGTATTTCAGTTATTTAATGCTTAAGTTCCTATCCTAAACCAGGGGTCAGCAACTTGCGGCTCTGGAACCACATGTGGCTCTTTCATCCCTCTGCTGTGGCTCCCTGTTGCCAGTTGGCACCACAATTTTGAGAGGAGCTCCCGTTTGAGGGGGGGAATAAACCATCACCCTATTTCTCTTTTTCTTTGTTGAAGGAAGGATAATTTATTTAATCCCACATAATGTGTCATCTAAGTTAATTCTCTAGATAGAACTTTACAGAATAGTATCAAATGTAGCTATCATTAGACTCCAAATTGTGCTATAGTATATTAAGTTATTCAGTGTACAATATCACAATAGGAACCAATTTTCTCCCTTATTTCTAGCTATTCATTAGAAATACAAATGTTTAATCAAAAGAGAAACTTAAACTGTCAGTAGACTGTTAGTTTGAAAAATATTTATATAGCTTTGATAGAGCGATGCATCAGAGCTTATATGATAATTCACTTGGCTAAGTATAAAAGATTTGAATTGCAATCTTTTTTTAAATGTGCAGTTTTTTTCTAGAATCTCCACTTGCCTTTTGATTACTGAGACTGTGTAAATACCTGGATTGTACATTGATGAGACAAATATATTAATAAATATCTTTATAATTTATTCTTTCCCCTACCCCCAAAAAAAATCACATTTCTAATCTTAACACATCATAAATTGGAAGTGTCTGCTTTTTAGTAGTATCAGAAATGATGCTCTTATAGTGAGCATCAGTGAAATTCCTGAATGAGCATTACATTGGATTTATTGAAAGTTAGAAGAAAGATTCCATCAGGTTAGTATTTGTTTGTTTGTTTGTTTGCTTATTAGTCAACTCCAACGGACTGAGTTCAGCCCCTAGTGACTGCATGAACATGATCATACATTTTATTGGCACAGAGGTGATTTGCCACTGTATTCTTCCACAATTATTGATCTGAGAGTGGAGGGGGGGAGAAGTCTCTCATCTAAATATTAATCAGGTCTGACTCTACTCACCTTTTTTTTAGTTAAAAGTTGGCCTAGTTATTGATACTGTTGGTAGTTTAAATAAAGAAGTATGAGAAGCAGAGAGAAATAACTAGGTTAAGATTCCATTATTTTTGAAAAAAAGAAAAAGGAAGTTGGCAAAACTACATCAGCTGCTACTGGGCAGCACCTCAGTGTCTCTGTTTTGTTCCTAGTTTAAAAGGAAGAACTAGAAAAACATATATGATTCTTCCTAATTCTTCTCCCAATATGCTTGATTAAATCCAACTCTCCATGAAATCAGCTGACAATGTATATGACCCTTGTCATCTGTCCTACACTGTACAGTGGATAACCTTGATTGTGTCTAAGGATTTTTAAAATTGTACAAATAAAAAATGCTCTTAGCATTCTCTTTCGGTGTGAGGTAAACAAGCAACAGCTTTGTGGAGGATATTAAGAAATATGTGGGACTTTTTTCTCCACACCAATAAAGCTTCATCACTGAAGCAATTATCACTGCAACCCTGAATGGGTAGATAGATGTTACTTACCAAACCTGTGTGTCACTTCATTTACACAACAAAACACCCACAACAGTTCTTTGTTCATGCGTAAGATGGCAATATTTAAAAGAAGAACCAGAATAGCTTGCAGCTGTAGAGAATAACTTCTTTTCACCCATCAGGCAAAAATACTGTAATTCTTTTTTATGTGGGAAATTTAAGGCAAAAGCATCTTTATTTGAAAGCACGAAACCAACACTGTATGGAACTATTTCATGTATTGTACTTTTGCTCCTTCTGAATACTTAAAATATCTGCTCAACCAAGTTCATTACTTACTCCAGTGCTATCTCCAATCCAGGAAAGGGACACTGAGCCACTGAGGTCATTGAAGACACGCTGTAAAGACAATTGCAAATACATTTTAGTTCCTGCTCCTGCAGCTGACATTATTCAGCAAATACCCCTTCCCTTTCTTCCAAAATACTTTCTTCCTAGAAACTTATTTCTTGACACCATATTCCTCACAATCTTACTGTCTGTTAATTTTAATAGTTATAATTTCCCAATAAAGTATATAAGATAAACTTATGGGGTTGATTCTCTAGAGCAGGTGTGTCAAACTCAAGGTCCACGGGCCGGATCCGGTCCACAGGGTGCTTAGATCTGGCTTGCACGGCCGCCCTGGAAAAGGCAAAGGACCTGCCCGTGGTACCTCTGCCAGCAAAAATAGAGCTTGAGGGGGCTGCGCACAGCCTGACCAGGCTCTGTTTTTGGCCATGATGGACTCCTGCAGCCTTCTGCCAGTGAAAACGGAGTTAGGGGACGCTGCATGTGTCCATGCCCCCCCCAGCCATGCCCGTCCCGACCCCCTTGAGGTCAAATACAACCCTAATGAGGCCCTCAATAAAATTGAGTTTGACCCCCCCCTGCTCTAAGCCTGGGTACCCAGTCCACTATAAATGCACCCCTGGACAGCTAGCAATGCAAGCTCACAAGATTGTAATCATCTAATATTATTGTGTGATTTATATACATTAACTATATGATATATTTTAAATGAGGCCCAGCACTCTTCACTCAACATGGCCCAGGCAAGCCAAGAGGTTGGGCAACCATGCTCTAGATGCTTTGGCTTGGATGTCTTTACCTATGCAGATTTGAAGAAGGGACTGCATCATACTTAAGAGAAAAGCAGAGATTAGCAGTAGCAATAGCAATAGCAGTAGACTTATATACCGCTTCATAGGCCTTTCAGGCCTCTCTAAGCGGTTT